TTTTTCCCCTTTGCCTCCAAAAGAGGCACTAGGGCTTATTTTGGGGGGATGTTTTTATACTCACTTCCAGCATCGACAGCCCAGCCCAGCCAGTCCACTTCTTCTGGGACCGAAGGAGCAGCTTCATTTTGCAGTTGCATTCCGGCCTACATTTTGCAATCAGGCTTTTCCGGATGGCATACAGTATGCAACCGAGTACCGGGCTATGGATTCAATCCATAGCTTGGTTCTCAGCTGCAGGTCATGCAGAACCGAACAATAGATTGAATCCATAGCTCGGTTCTTGGCTGCAGTGGCCTTCTGGAAAGGCTTGTGACTGAGAAATGCAGGCCTGGCTGCAGAAGACGCAGAAGAAGTGGGCCGGCGAGGAGAGGCCTGGCTGCAAGGTTAAGTGGGTGCGGAGCACGTGGGCAGGTCCACACCCCCATCCCAGTTTGATTTTTAGGTGTGTGCCTCGCTCCAAAACTAGGGCTTATTTTTGGGGTACGGCTTATATTAGGCCCACCCCCCAAAATCAAGGCTTATTTTCGGGGTAGGCCTTACTTTGGAGGAAACACGGTATCTAAGCAGCACCTTGTCTGCTTATTGGCCTCAGATATCATTGCCCCTGACCCAAACCTGGCTGGCAAAAGCCCAGTTAGAACTTGTAACTATCATCTATTCTGCCCCTCCCTCCACAGGCAGAAGTTCTATTGCTGGTGTTACTATCCCAAGCATAAGATGCCCTTTTGCTTTAAAAACCTGCCAAGCCTCACTGAACTATAAAAACGAGCATCTTTCCAATTTTGCAGGGCTTGGAAGCAGAGGAAGTCCTGCAGTTACACTGGATTGCAGGGGTCTCACACATTTGAAAGAGCCCCACCCGCTTCCTATTTCCAAAGCAGCCTGCCCAGTGATTAGGAACAATGGAAGTTTCCAGGAACACCTGAAAGGCCAGTGGTTTCTCATCCTGCAACGTAATGCCTAGCAACTGCCTCTGGAAGGAAACTGTCTAGCCTGATGCAAGACAAAAACAGCTCTGACATTCAGCAGCGTGTATTCACCTTCTTTCTCATAGAGGACATTAAAGGGCTGGAGCAGCTCATGTTTGGCACATTCTACTACCCCCATCCTGGCCTTCCTTTCATCCTCAAACGCCCTATGGGAAACAGAAGAACAGATTCAGAATCCAACCATACATCTTTTGGGATTTTCCGATTACTCAACAATTATGTTAGCCTTTTCAGGAAAAAAAATAAGCTGGCTCTAAACTGCAAAGAATCCTGCATCTGTCCAAGTAAACAACTTGGCACCAGCCACAGGATTCAGCTCCAAAGGAACTTTACCTTCTCTAGCATTTATGACTGCAAATTTGATTTGGACACTGCCCGAGAGTGAAAGGCATAGCATCAAATTGCCTCTCCACCGTGTCACTAAAAAAAGACATAGGAAGTTTTCCTAAAAGCCAGAAAGAGGACTTAATAGACTACTAGAGTCCTTCATAACTGACTTTGAAAGGAGTTTGGTTCATAATTGCACTAAGTCACAATGACGTTTATTTATTTTGGCATACTGTGCAAATGTACTCAATCATAGTTTGTTCATTCATGATTGCACAAACTCCAACTTAGTAAACCAAGTGTACCTACAATCTCTTAGATTCCCTCAGCGTGCTGCTTTAATCTTGCTTTCTTAACCACAAGTTAGCGTCATCCAACCTTCATATACTTGAGCTATGCAATTAAAAAAAATACCTGCCATTTACATTATGACTTACATTTTAAGATATTGGTTTAGATTGAGCAAAAACTATTCAGTGGCAAGAACTGTCCAACAGTTGAGTAGCCAAGTGGAAAGCCTGCTATTAAAGTGTTATTTACAAACCTGAGAGTGAAAGGCATAGCATCAAATCGTCTCTCCACCTCACTAAAAAAGGCACGGGAAGTTTTCATTTTCAAACCATATTGTTTGGAAGGATCCCTTTTGTAAATGGTGGTTCTTTGCCCAGCATCCTTGGCCTGAAAAACAAACCAGGGCAATTCACAACACTTTCAGCAACAGAGTCTCGTATTTACTCATGTGATAGGAGCCATATGGCAAGAGAGGAGAAAAAAAATATCTTTCTGAAATACAGTTTTGATTTTATATCATTCCCAATATAAGTGAATTTCCCAGTGTATTCATTTAGAAACGTAGCCCTAACTACTATGTAAAACATCAAATAGCAACTTGTGAATTGGACAGAGATCTTTCTCGCCAAAATTAGTTTTAGTCAGTATTTCAACTGGCAAAGCCTTGACTGACACACAATCCAATACGAGTCTCAAGCTCACGCCTGAAGACAACAAAGGCCGTGAAGCATTGCTCTTAAGAACTTGGATTGAATTGCCTCCATTTTTTTTTTTGCAACGTATTAGGCACAGATTTGTGCACCACAGGCTCAATATGTTGTCCCCCCAAAAGCATCACTGCAAGGAAACACAATTATTTCATTTGTTGTTTCTTCCATTCAGTCGTGCCTGATTCTAAGAGACAGCCAGGACAAGTCTCTGCAGTTTTCTTGGCAAAATATTTCAAAAATGGTTTGCCGGTGCCTTCATGAATTATTTCTATGGTGATTGGCAAATCTAATTACTGCGTTGGAATTTTGTGTGTGATGAAGTAACCCTAGATACTGAATCATTTAACACAATTTCTAAATAGTTAAAGGATTTGCTTTGCCCAATCTGATTGCTGTTAATTTTATCTTCATTTTGTGACTACCGTATGATTTTTGTTTAATATCTAGTTTTTCTTCCGTACAGTAAGTATTTAAGGCTTGTGCTCTGCTAAAGATTGACTGTGTCATCCAGCATAAAGCAAAATAGACACTTGGGAGAAAAATCCACTTTTTCTTAGGGTTTGAACTAGGGAGTGGATATAAAGGTTACCGTATTTATTCGAGTATAACGCGCAAAATTTTCTACCCAAAAAAGGAATCAAAGTTTGGGTGCGCGTTATACTCGAGGTATCTCCTCTGGGCTCCCGGCGGGTTCGCGGTGACGGGCTCCAGAAAGGTAGGCAGCGGCGCGGAGAAGCGAGGGGAGGGGGG